TATGATATTTACAAAATTTTGTTATAATAAAGCATGGGCAAATTTTAATGGCAAGCTGTTATATATTTACGAAGACTTGCAAAGGTTTGTAAACCATATTAATTTTTAAATCATTTTTGGATTAATGAAATATATCACATATTTTGGAACACTCAGTTTTGTTTATTTTCTCATGCAATTTTTACTTTATTTTAAAAATAGTTTTGCTTGAAATGTGATTTTGTATGTGTATGAAGATTAATTTTTCTTATATATCTTGTTGAAAATTTTCTTATTTGCTTGCTTATTTTGATTTTGCTCTTATGGCTCCTATATATATATATATATATATATAAACATTATAAATAAAATTTATTAAATTGCAATTAGGTCATCAATGTTGTCTTAATTTGAGTGTTAGGAAGTAAATAAATCATTGATAACCAAGTGAGTATAGCAAAAATAATAATGCTAAGATGAATGTATTGCAAAATTAAGAAGGATAGATTAAAATGTGATTATATTAGAGTGATGGTAAACATAAACCTATTGAAGATGCATGGAGGTGTTTTATACATCTACATTGAATGGTAGAAAATACACCTATAAGATGAGTACATACAATCAAAATAGAAGGATTAGAAATGAAATATATTAACCTAAAGTAGCATTGTTGAACGTTCTTCATAAGGATTTGTATTTGATAGTTTCAACATCTCATGCATCCCTCAACAAAAACGAGTTAAGAAGTAACTCCAAATAGTAGCTATATGGCAAGTAATGATAATGATGGTGGGTTTATAATTTTTAATTTCATGTTATGGGACTTTTAGTATTGCACTCTTGCATTATGTAATATTTTTCCTTTCGTTTTTCTTTGATCGAGGCCATAACATAGATGTTTTTTTTTTAATTGTAATATTGTATATCATGTATTTGTGTATTCAGGCATGCGTGTACAAATCTTTTTTTTTTATATACATGGATATGGTCAAATCTTTCATTGTATACATAGATATGCTCAACTCAGCGTACGTGTTTGTGTTTTGTCTACATTTGCTAACATGTTCATCTACAACTTTAGAGAATTTCACATCCCTTATAAAGCAATGCGTCCCTGCATCATCTTTCGTTCTTCACAGTTTTGATCATTTATATTTTTTGCCTGTATAATTTTAAACTTGGTCTTCATTCTTGTGAACTTAGGTTGTACCTATGGTAGCCAAGAAAAAAGGAATGTGTTTGGTTGAAGGTTGTGAAAAAGGACCGGTCAACGAGTTAGAAAGAGAGGTTAACGATTCGATCAAAGTTGAATCAGGGTTGATCTGAATGACATAATAAATATTAATTATATTGAATATAATTATAATATAAAGCATAAAAGATATAAAATAAATAAATTCGGTAATTTTAAAATTAAATATATTCATTTTGTGAGTAATTGACCTTTTTGTAGTTGTAACTTAAAGATAAAGCACAAATTTCTTATGAAATTTTATAGTTTCTTCCTCCAACAGGTGAAGCTTTGAAAATGAAATAAAGATAAGATATCATACTTATACACTTATATAAAATAAATAAGAAAAATGCATTAATAAATTTCACATGAAAACAAAACAAATTATAGAAAGACTTGCAGTCTGTAATAACTGATAACATAAAGAAAACACATCCATTATATAAAGATAAAGTTAATAATGTTTTTCTTTCGCAGTTCAATAGTACAAATAATTTCACAACAACAACAATAACATCAAGCCTTTGTCCCACTACGTGAGGTCAGCTACATGAATCCTTCTTCGTCATTGTGTCTTGTTAAAAGTCAAATTCTCATTTAAATCTAATAAAGAAAGATCATTTCTAATATTTTCTTACCAAGTCGTTTTAGGACTACCTCTACATTTCTTAACATAAGTCAAATCTAATACTCAACTTCCCTAACAGGGTCATCGAAAGGCCTTCGTTTAATGTGGCCAAACCATCTAAGACGACTCTCTCTAATCTTATCTTCCACTGAAGCTACTCCAACCTTTTCACCTATATGCTCATTTCGTATCCTATCTCTAAGGGTAAAGCCACTCATCCACCTAAGCATCCTCTCCTCTGCAACACTTAACTTAGTATTATGCTTCTCTTTTAATGGCCAACATTCGGCACCATAAAGCATTGCAAGTCTCACCACCATCTTATAGACTTTTCCATTAAGTTTGAGGGGGACTTCTCTATCGCACAATAAGCCCGAAGCATTCCTCCACTTCAACCATCCAACTTGAATTCTGCTGATAATATCCCCATCTATTTCACCATCACTCTGAACAATAGATCCAAGATATCTAAAATGTGTACTCTTATTAATGACTTGATCGTCCAAAGTCACAATCCCCTCACTAGGTCTATTGCTGCTAAAATTCAATTCTATATATTCAGTTTTAGATCTACTCAAGCGAAAACCTTTAGACTCTAAGGTTGATCTCCATAATTCAAGTTTACCTTCAACTCTCTCTAGTCTTATTGACAAGAAGAATATCATCAGCAAAAAACACACACCAAGGTACATCCTCTTGCAAATGTCTAGTGAGAACATCCATGACTAAAGAAAAAAGATATGAACTTAAGGCTTATCCTTGATGTAATCCAACCGAAATAGGAAAATAGTTGGTTAAACCACATTGTGTTTGAACACAAGTAATTGCTCATGCATACATATCTTTAATGATTTGAATATAAGCATTGTTAACTCCTTTCTTTTCAAGAACTCTCCATAGCACTTCTCTTGGAACTTTATCATATGCTTTCTCTAAATCAATAAATATCATATGTAGATACTCCTTATTCACAAGGGAAAATATAATTTCACTATAGAAAAAATAAAAAATCTCCTAGATTTGCTTCATCAAAGCTATCCCCGAAGGTTGAGTTTCCAAATTTTGCTTCACCAAAATCTTGTCCCAAATGTATCCAATTCATCAAACCTGATTATGTTATCTTCATCTTCTTCATTATCAAAAGCATATTCATTAAAAAATAAGAAATATAAAATAAGACTTCATTTTTTTTAATCCAAATGATTATAGTTATATTTAATTTTCAATTTATAATATCTTTGTTGAGCATGACATGTTTTGTTTTTGAGCAACGGGCGTTGCATTCTCTATTTAGATTTCATTCTCCTAGTCCTCTGAGTCAAGTTATGGAGTTGGCTCATTATTAAGTACCAAAACATTAATAATTTCAACACATGTATAGTACAAAGGATTATAATTTATTTTTTAAGTTGTAACCTAAAAAATGGAGGAGTAACTTTAGTCATTGCATTTTAATATAGTATAACATTTGTATATGCATATTAATATGATAGAAAATTATACATATTCCTCAAATTGAGGTTATATTGAAAATATATCATATCGCTGAGTCATTGATGCTCTAAATATTGTGTCTCTTTGAGTGAGTTTGTTTAAAAATGCTCCATTTTTTTTACTTCTTAATAAAGACGATGTTTGATTTAGATTTTAGTGTTAGTTTCTGCAAGTTAAGAGATCTATATACCTTTCACGATTTATATGTGGAATTTCAGGTTAGAAAGCTTAGTAAAAATTTATAATTGTAAAATAAAATAGAAGCATATGTTGACATTAAAAAGAAACTCATATAGTTGTATTTCTCTTGTCAAAGTGGGAGCAATTGGCTTTCCAAATCTTTTTAAGTCATCACGCAAAGGTCTAACCTCTTGCATTACTTCTGGCTTATGACAATAATTCTCTTTGTCGTATTAAAAATGAGAATTCATGAAATATGCCGCTGAGTGGATATCTTACCTTAGTTGAAAATAGGGGTGCAAGTGAGCAGAGTGTTAGACTGGTCCACTGGACCGGTCCAGCCGGTCCAGGCGGGACCGGTTCACGGGTGAAATCGCAAAACAGCGGAGAAAGCTTCTGCCTGGGCGGAAGCCGCACGTGACGCACGCCTTGCGGGACGGTTTCGGGAAGGAAAATTGAGGAAGTTTAGGAGAGAAATTGATTGCAGGGATTGTTTAGGGAATTCCTTTTGAATTGTATGCATTAAGTAGTTGATTTTTCTAGGGTTTGGGATATCTTGAATTTGGTTGAAATTTGAGATCTCTTAGCTTTAGGTTTTCTTTGGGCTCTAGCGGCGTCTAGAGATTTGGGAGAGATCGACCCTCCTCTAGAATTGAGGATCAATTGTATCTTTGCTATTTTATTCATCTACTAGTGAAATACAAGTATTTGTGTGGTTTTCTCTCAGTTTTCTAGCCGTTTTCCTCTGATTTGGTGCTGATTTCTGCTGTAAACAGCGAACTCCTGCTGGTTGCTCATCCGTTTGGCTTAGGAGTGCTTGCGAACTCAAGTATTACCTTAGGGTTACTTGAGGACTCAAGTATTTCCTATCACAGAGCCAGCTTGTGAGCCTGCTTGAGCTCGAATCATTAACAAGCTCATAAGTCAAGATTATTGAGCCACGAGTTCGAGCTTGATCATATACTAAAGCTCATATATTGAACAAAGCTCAAGCTTAGCCTGGCTCGTAGGTAAGCTTGTTGAGCCGCTCGATTACTTTAAAACATATTTAAAATTAAGTTAAACTAGCGTTATGTAATATATTTTAAAATAAGGATAAAATTAGAGAGGAAGACATTTGTTGGGTCTTTGGATGTATTAAGAGTATTAGATTATTCTTGTTAGCCTATAATTTAAACACAAAAAATGACTGGCAGTTTTCTAGTTTTCAGTTATTGCGGTTATATATGTATAGACTATAGATAGATAGAGATAGGTGGCACCATGTTAGCATGTATCAGCTTGTAACTGAGGTAGCTATTTGTCATAATTTGTTCGATTTTTGTAGGCTTTTAAAGAGAATGCGCGGATTAGCTTAATATTTTTCATTCATTTATTATCTCTCGCAGCAAATGTTTAAGCATTTTCTAGTCAGAATGACCAGCTTCTAGCTTGGCATTTGGGTTCAGTAAAACGGTAACTAAAACATCCTCTTTGTTACAGGTGTGGATATTAGTATGAATACTCATCTGAAGACCGTGAAGCTTACGCTTAGAGGTAAAAATCCCGTTACTCTTGATCACGTAAGTGTGCGGGGCAACAACATTCGGTACGTTATACTTCCCGACAGCTTGAACCTGGAGACATTATTGGTGGAGGAGACGCCTAGGGTCAAGCCAAAGAAGCCAACTGCTGGTACTTTTTTTTTTTTTTTTTTTTTTGAATTTTTTACATACATAACACCTAAAACCATTGAAAATACATATTTAACATTTAAATTTTTATATTTACTAATATACCACCTAAAATCCTCCTTTCCTTCTATTCTACCACCTAATTGAAGCGATGAGATACTTGTATTTACTGTGAAAGAATAACATTGACGGAAAGAAAGTCGCTGATAGTGATTTTTGACGGAGGGTTTAAACGGAATGTTAGAATTGATTAAAAGAAGGGTTTTAGGTGGTATATTAGGAAATATAGAAATTTATGTATTAAATATGCATTTTCAATATTTTTAGGTGTTTTGTATGTAAATTTCTTTTTTCTTTTTTCTTTTTTCTATTTCTTTGATGCACTAATTGTAAACCATGTTTATTGCCTGTTCTTAATCTCAACTTCTCTGCTACAGGGAGACCAATGGGACGAGGTCGTGGTAGGGGTCGTGGCCGTGGCGGCCGTGGTGGCCGTGGCCGTTAGTTAACTCAGTTACCAACGTTACATTCTTGCAGCACCTTTCCAAAAGTGGCCCAGCAACTACTGAGAACTTCTTTTGAACTTCCATCAGCATCACCAAGGAAAAACCAGCTTACTGCATTAAAATACATCTATGGAAGGCCGTTACTGTAACAATCTGTTATAAATGCATTATTAAAACATCATAGAACTCCACTGCTGTGTAGTAGGCACCTTTTCTAGCATTTTTGTACTTATGTTTGATCATGTTATGTCGGAGAAATTCGAGATTTAAACTGTTTCATTGTGTTTTAGGTCGTATTTGTTGCTTTTATTCTTTTGATTTCCAAGGAATAGGGATGTAATCCCTGAATTTGGTGCTTGTGCTCTGCTTTTTTTTGTCTAGTTCCTAATGATGTTGTCATCTTTGAAATCAGGGAAAATTATTAGTTACGGACACCGGACGTAGAGATACATCCGGACATCCACTAAAAATTTGACATGTGAAGTGAACTTTAGTAGCAATTTTTTTTTTGTGCGTTTTATTTGTGCTTTATCTGCGCTTTAGTTATGCTTTGACTGTGCTTTGAACATGCTTTACCTACGTTTTTGGTGCGCTTAGCTTAAAATTTAGTTGACACATTAAATATATTGAATATCCACGTGTTCACTCCATGTGTCGATATTTTATTGATGTCCAGACGTATCTCTACATCCAGTGTCCTGAGCAAGTTGTTCAACTTCAAAAGAAGGTTCATATCTAGGTTTAATAATGTTCAATCATAGTACAAATGTGTTGCAATCATTATTCATTTCTAGATTGAAGATGGTTCAAATAAGATTTGATCATGATACGAAGAGTACTTTATCAATCTTAGTTTAATGTTCGATAATCATTCCATTTATGGATTATATATAAGATTGATACAATAGAGAGTGTAACCACAAAAGATGTGACACAACAAAGCACATTTGACAAATTCTTTAAACTGATTGTAGGAGATATGCTACATATATTCATAACATCCTTGACAGGATCCACTGATCTATAAAAGAGTTCTCTAAATTAGCTTGGTGAATGAATGATTGATATGAGCAACTAATTTTTAAGTCAAAATGATAAATTGATTCATGGCTCTAAAATGTTGTGAATTAATGTACAATAAAATGTTTTTGTAGAATTGCATGCAATCATGAGTAATCTTTAGAATATATATATTTTAAATCAAATATATCAAGTATTGTATTACATATACTCCATAGTTATTGCTACAATTAAGTTATGGATTAATCATTATATTGTATGTAAAAGAACTAACTAACTTAAATTTTCCTAAAATTTTAAATAGATTACTTTAATGTAGCCATTAGGAGCTCATCTGTGTTGGCTTTGCTACATGTACGAGTAAGAGGACATAAATGGAATGATAATCAAGCATTAAACATTCAAAGTCATGGGGTTGATTCTCTGAAAATCAATTGCGCTTGTGCTTCTCCCTTGATGGATATATTAAATCTCTTATAAAACACTTCTTGTTTTTGTAGGCCCTACTTTTGATGCCCC